AATTCATTTTTTCCGGTAACAACAGCTTAGAAGCAGATAACATTTCTCAGCGATCCGTGATATCAAAAGCTGTATTTTTCAGACGCATGCAAGTGTTGGTTGAACCTGAAAACGCCTTTCAGAATTGCTTTACATATATTGATAATTAGAGCGGTCATCTATTACGGCGATTACGCCGCAAATTTGATTAATAAATCCGTCGACTTTTCTTGGCTGTAGCTAAACGTCATTTTTTTATTTATGATCATTAGCGTAATTACTCTGTTACCGCCTCCTATACCATTTTCTTCTTTGCCGCCTTGCTGGCCACGACTTGGTCGATCTCCTGAGGTGACGGATTCAAGCTTCCAAGCTAACAAATGAACCTATGCAAGGCGTATTTCCATAGACTCACTGCCGAGTTCATTAAAGTGCTTGACTCAAAAAACCGATTGACGGTAAGGGTTAGATGGTCTGAGCGCCCGGTCGCAAAACCTAAACTCTGGCTACGCTACGTGGACGATACTTTTGTCATCCCAAAGCGCTCGAAACTGGAAGAAACACATCAGTTAATAAACAACACGTTTACTGGTATCCGTTTCACTAAAGAAGAGGAGAACAATGATCAGCTACCATTCTTGGATGTGTTAGTAAAAAGACATGCTGCTGGACAACTGGAGACAACAGTTTATCGGAAAGCGACGCATACAGACCATATCCTGAATTATCGCAGCAATCATCCAACAGTCTACAAGCGCAGCTGCGTAACAACTCTATTTAAAAGAGCGCAGACACACTGCAGCACCCCGCAGCTGAGGAATGCGGCGGAAGATCATTTATTCGCAATGCTTACACGGAATGGGTATCCTAGAAATTTCATTCTACGTTGTTTAACATCAATAAAGCGACCGACGCATGCACAAACATCAGACACAGCTAACAGGACAATCATTCTACCATACATAAATGGTGTCTCTGAGATGGCGGCGAGTCTGCTACTACCTTTCGGAATCAGAGTTGCTCACAAGCCGACGGAAACCATCCGAGACTAGCTCTTCAATGGTAAGGACCGGCTTGGCAAAGAAGAAACAAGTGGTGTGGTTTAAAAAACCACTGCAAAAATTGCGTCAAATACTATGTGGGCCAGACAGGAAGAAAGCTCGGCCCTAGGCTATATGAGCATAGCCTAGCCATCCGCCGACATGACCAGAACTCCCTGATGTCGGTACATATGGATGCCGATAATCATCAGATTGGGTTGGAGAATGTCAGGATCATGGGGGGGGGGCAAAAACTCGAAAAGCACGCGAGTTAATCGAGGCTTGGTACTCGGGCAAGAACTCAAGCAACCGACACTCAGACCTTGATACTGCCTATGAAGCACTGAGGGTTAAAACAATACTCCGCCCCAGATCAAAGAGACAAAGGAACATCATTGAGGCGGACTTTAGCTAACAGTACGCAAGAGTTGACTACACGGTCAGCTCACGTGGACCAACAGACTGCTGACGTTCGAATCAAGTGATCAATAATCACTTGGATCTGCAAGTGGCTCGCATAAATCGCACTGATGATGTCGTCTAGCCTGACGATGAAACGTCTGCAACCAAATCAACCAGCTCGGAGAACACCCGCATACCCTCATCCGCATCCCGAGCTACAAATATTCTCACGGATTTCTAATATAAGACGTATGCTCGATTTTAGACGAAGCATAATGATGTGACTCTCCAAGTGGTGCTTAATGGCAAATCTTTGAAAGTTCTTCACCGATGGCTTCGACAGTATAACACAAGGTTGCATTCGATTGTGATCAGGCTTATACATATCTTTTTTGTATATATCCTTATTGGAATTACATTTTAATGTTTGCATAGGTTTCGAGTTGTTTTCATTTTGTACTACCTATGAGTAGATGGATTTGGTCAGTTAAAAACAGGGGTTCAAGCAGTCGGAGTACAGGTCGCAAAGGTGAAATATTTCGTGCGACTGCGTTGAAACTGAGCTATATCGTTTACAATGTCATTTACTTCGCGATTGTTAATTAGATTTCTTCATTGTTTTTCACTTCTGTTTAAACGCTTTTTATTATTTTTTCATTGAAAAAGGCGGTGAAATTACGCCCTGTCGGTTGGTCTATGTTTAAATACAAATAGATCATTGTCACATTTAAGTTGTGTTTTTTTAGTGTGCGATTTTCCATAGTTTATTGCTTTGCAATGGCGCATGCTGTTGCCATAACGTTTTTCTGCTTTTTTAGTGCAATCGATCGGCCTTAGTTAATCTGAGTAATGCCTTGCCGGCGTGCTCGCAGAGCCGGAGCAGTGTGACATGCAATTGCAAATCGAACTGAGGAAGAACGGGGATCAGCGAACGAGCAACAAAAGACGGAGAATGCCTCAAATATGTGTGGTGCGAAGTGTAGGCAGACTCGAGGATGCAAGATTGCGAAAACAAACGAATCCTTCAGCTTCGGTTGTGCTTGGCTCTTAACAGAATGAACACGGCAGGCTAAGACTGGCTGAAAGTCTTCAAGGGGAAACAGCAGATCAGTATCAAACACAACACCATGCTCAGCAGTCGCGCGATTACAACTGCGTTGCATTCCGGTACAAATTAGCTGAGTACTACGGTTTGAGTCAGCATGTTCTCATCGGCGCTATGACTGAATTGTATCCGTATTGCAGGGCTATGAAATTGAATGGAGAAGCAAAAGGAATGTGTTGCGTAGCCGGGAAAAGTACACTGGGTCAACTGAAAGAACCGCCAGAGTCACAAAAATTTTTGCCGGATATACCGCAGCATCAGATCATTTCCTAGCTAACAGCAGGAAATACAACTTGTGCTTCCAAATGACGTCATTTGGCGCAGAAATCGTAAAAGCTCCATTCACGCCCACTTTCAAAGTGAAAGAACAGATCAGAAAGCCGGATTCGTGCTTCCGTTTCCCCATGGTTAATATAAATTTCTACAGATGTACTTCACCGGTGATGGCAAGGATGAATTGAATGCAGGTTGCGGAATTTCTACCGGAATCGAAAAGGTCCGTCGAATCCCAATTGCAAGAGCTTCTTCACCAAAAATAATAAGTTAGTGCATTTGTACAGAACAGCTACTGACGTGATGACATCTGAAACACACAAGATTGTTATTCATGCTGACAATACACTTTTCGGAGAACATGTGCGAATATTCAATGCTCAAACTATAGATGAAATGGCAATCGTTAAAGCCCGAGATCAATTTCAACTTATGGATAGTATCCTTCATCGGAGAAAAGATCAGCTGACAAAGCGGCAGAAAGTCATAGATACTACGACGCCCTGCAATATCCAATCAGTTTTGGGGATGGTGTTGATGGATGTCACATCAAGGTTAAGATGATAAATCCAATCAATGGTGAAGAAACAGATAAGAGACGCAGATCAAATGAACTTTTATTCATATCAATAACGATTCAAGAGGATGAACACAATCACATTTTAAAATGCCGTCACGTGTTTCACCAAGACATCGTGGATATGTATGCAAACGTCGAAACAGAACGTTTGTGATTCATCGGCTTGAATCAGATTAAGCTTTACGCTGAAGAACATGTTCATTTGAGAGACGGTAATGCAGCGAAGGTTCGAAGATAAATAATTTTGCCATCCTCATATACAGGCAGTTCATGTTATATGCATGAGTACGCGCAAGATGCATTTGAGTATGTTCGTCACTACGGGCGTTCAGATATATTGATTACATTCACATACAATCCAACTTGCGACAATATACAACAGCAGTCGCCGGTGGATATGTATGACATCACAGCTCGTGTTGTCAGACAGGAGTTGAAATCGCTGTTGGACTTTATGGTAAAACATGAGGCGTTTGGGTCTGTGCGCTGTTGGATGTACTCAGTGAAATAGCAAAAAGTGAGGATTGCCACACGCACAAATAATAAGATGGCTCTACAACGAACAAAGTCGACGATATAATATGCGTTGAAATACCCGATGCCGACTCGATAAGGACTTGCATGAAATTGTGACGAAAAATATCATACATAGACCTTGTGGTTCATCGAATCCAAACTGATCATATATAATACACGGGAAATGCTCAAAACGATATCCTCGAGTATTATTATCCAACATAGTTACAGAAACTGACGGACATCCCTTACACAGAAAAATATCAGCAGAAGACGGTGGTAACTTTGTAAGTATACAGATGCGAAACCGTGACATCGAAGTCGATAACAAGTGGGTTTCTCCATATCCGCCTTTGCTATCAAAAAGGTACAAGGCGCACATAAGAGTGAAAGATGGTAACTCCGTTAAATCGATCAAATACATTTGTAAGTACGTGAATAAGATCAGCGATATGCCGGTATTCGGCATGATACCAGACGAATCCACGGTTGGCCGTATTACTTCACCAGGACATCTGCATTTATATACATACATAATTAGTAGCAGCAACCTCTCCATCTATTTGAAAGATTCAGCCGATCAATCAGCCCTAACAAATAGTTTCGGAACTGCTCCGAAAAAAACCTAAAAGATATATCATTTGTCACATATGATCCGGTTGTATATAATGATTAGATCAATCGTTCGGACTGTGTCATCACTGAGGAAGATAACATTCATTTATTTATTTATTTAATAAACTAAGGCATAAGCATTCGTCAGAAGCGCGTGGGAAGCCAACAATCAATGGTGAGTTGGAAAATAAGAACAAATAGTTCTAATGACTAATAAATCGACCAACCGTCGTTTCAGCATGTGTACTCAATGAAAAGGGAGAAAGGGAGAGAACATCACACGCATACAAGTTGCTTGAAACATGCAGAGCCAACTTAAGTGTCCACAGGTGTGGGCAGGCAGCAACTGTCGATCTCGAGTGATGTAAACTACTCAGTGGCATTGTTCTTACAAGAATGAAATGGCAATTGTTGTCATCAGTATAAACGCAAAAGATAGCAAATTGAATTAATAAGCAAAACTACACGCAAGCATAGAAGGACAACTTACTTGTGAAAATATAGAGTACAAACAAGTTCTGCGATTCATTGGAAGCCGAGTTGACTTCAGGCAGGGCTTCGAAGCGTCCCGACAAAAGTCTAGAGCAACACGCAATAGCCGTAGGATCATATCACGCATCACAGCACGAAGAAGTGGTGAGGAGCGGTAGAGATCATCTAGCGAATTGAAAGAACCTGATGGGGCTGTCTTATCGAGCATGAACCGAGCGCATCGTAGAAGTTCATAGATCGCATCTACTATGTCGAATGACAGTGAATTGAGGGCCGATCTCAGGCCGAGTGATCGTTCCAAACCAGAAAGTGTTGCAGTGATAAAAACGCGCTGTAACATGTCGCAGTCAGCCTCATCCAGTGCACTGAAGTCGACTGGTAGTCTTCGCAGCAAATCTCGTAGGCATTGATAGGCCTATACAGTAGCAGAGAAAGTGACATCAGCAGTACACGAAGGCAGACTGTAACGACGAAACGTCTACTGGTTGCGCATGAACATGGAATATTGAGAAATTTGTCAGGTCCGTTTACGTACTCAGATCATTCATGTTGGAAATGTCATGTAACCTAACGGTAAAACCATAACACACCACGCGAGCCAATTCACGTGGTTCGCACGCATAGGTCAAAACAGCACTTGACCTCTATCCATGATCACGCCGGCGTGTCAAAGCACGTGACCTACGAGCGGTTGAGAATGCTCTATCACATCCACTCATAAAGCTGATACCACATCAACACACAACACATGCAACTCGACGATCGGACAACCGACCCCTACGCTTCCAATCATGTACACAACGCAGCTATCGTCGCAGCGAACCGCAATCTGACTTGGACGCAATGATCATACAAGCACATAAGTCTCCCTATTTCATGTATCCTTATTACTTGTGCAATAGTGTCATTTATAATAGTGCCTAATCTTCTGACTGAATTAGTCTCGATTAAAGTGGAATTAATAAGGTCATCCGCATTTACGCAAGTTCGAAACTAAGATCTTCGAGTTACAAGGCAGACGCCTAATTCCTTCGGCGACTGACACACCAACAAAGGAATATTGGACTTAGGATAAAAGACCGTTTCCTTAGCACACGACAAGACGCAAAAGGATATAAGACGTGCATCACAAATAATTGAGAGAATGCCGTTACGCACCATCGATACGGGTAACCTTAGCTGAGGGTAAATAAAAGAGGCATACAGTTGAAGCCACGGATACCAGTCGGTGCGGTTTTGTTGTCCTGGCGATGCCCATACACTCTGCCCCACGTCGATGACGTTAAAATGTGCACTAAGCTTCACCCTTATACAACGATGACATTGATGATCTCGATGGGAATTCGTCGCAGCTATATTCAACCACTGGACGTACGGAATAGCACAGTAAAAACAGCACATCCTTTCAGGAATCGCAAAAAAACGGTGCAATGGCTCAAACTCATTGACAGGGATAAATTCACGAAAAGTAACGCTTCTATCAGAACGGAGCGATACATTTAGGATGGAATCAGCTTCCCACTCTAAGTCACATGGGCTGATCAAGCATCCAACTATCGAAATCGCTTGCTAAGCAACGTGTGTACAAAACTAAATGGGCGAATTCCGAGTTAAACACAAAAGGATCACTTCCGGACCAATAAATTGTGATGGAAAATCGAGCTGAATGGATTGCGTTTTGGTGGTTGTTCTGGATTACAAGCATCGGCTCATCAAGGTCTTTATCTACCGATTTGCCGGTTGGGTTGGGAGTTCTTGAGGAACCTGAATGCAATAACCGTGGTCGCAAGCGGTAGGCACACATAACAACTCCACATCAGTGGAATGCGGGGACCACATCCATCCTTCGAGTCAACATGATGGCCTTCCTTGGCTTGATGGATTCCTTTCATTCTGATGATGGTGTCATTTCGTAGTGATGTCTAACTAGGAAGAGGGTGGGAGAAAGTTTATTGTATTTTAAAATCTCCATGGCATACCTCCTGGATTCGTGAACAAGTCTGAGGGAATTTCTTCGCGGAGCTCACCATAAGTGGAATGCGATCCTAATCATCGTAAATGACTCACTCCCACCAAATTCCCCTACTACTGGAATAGTTGTTCAAGTAAGTGACCAGATGTCAAACTTTGAGTATGCTTATGACAGTAGTGTTTGGGTCGGACTCCTCTGATTTACAAACCCAACTGGACACAGCAAGACTTGAGGCTGCAGGCCACAGCACCTGGTTCGCACCCTCGAAAGGATTCAGCTGACGTACCACCGGTCCCCACTAGCACCCGAAACAACCGACCGGTTTGTTAACCTGGCGATCAAAACACAGTACAGAGCAGCGCAAGTGTACGCAAGGCGCGGGTGGTCTAATAAAGAGCGTAAAACATCGAAGCAGTGGCCATGAGCTTAGTGACTAAAAAGAGGAGTTATAGTGCTACGGTGCGAACAGTGTAAGAGACCTCGCCGCTGAAGCCAGCAACTGAATTCGCGACCAGTGTGCTGACGTCTGGTAGGAGAACAGAATGAGCAAAAGTGAAGTTCGTCATTTGGTATTTCGCAACAGACCACCGGTGATTCATGGAAGTCTGTCGTGTGGAACTCGAAGCGCATCCGGTGATTCGGTCAAGCGCTAAGTATGCCAGTCAGCCGGTTACCTCGGTGAGTGTTGTTTAGAAATACCATGCCTAGTTGGGTGAAAAGTTGAGGTGACCGGACAATCATATGGTAAAAGAAAATCGAACAGCCAAATAGGGTTAGTGTTTGGCGCTTTCCTGACCACATTAAGCAGATATTGCGTAACCACGAAGTAAGTGATGACATCAATGTACTCGTTCACTTTCCTCAGATAAGTTACTATTCCAGCTAGTGACATTATTCCTCTTAAACTGTCATTATTATTCTTAATATGGGTAGTTCAGTGCATTAAGACGACTTGATTCGCAACACCGCAAGTCTTGGTTCAAGTCTGACAATCTGACCTGTCCTAAAATCGTCGTGCTACACATGACACGTCTGTTGGGAGGAGGGGGGGATTTTATGTGACAGTGGAACCAGACGACCTAGGCTTTGTCGGCGCATTAATAGAGAGAAGGTGAAGACGATAGGGTTTCGTATCCAAAGTACAACAGCAGTAACATTAGTAATGCTTCGCCAGCATCAAGTAAACTTTCCAGACGGTTTGGTAAAAGCGGCAGCAAAAGCGAATGTTGCGGGTCCGCAAAAAATTCCCGCAAAAACGCGCCAGCAACCCCGGCAGAATGGCTGTGGGAAGCGGGGTCCAATTCCTCCCCACAACGCAACAGAGCTCAGCCACTCCGAAACAAGTCCCAACTGCGAACCTTTTGGCAATGGTCATTTGCAAACTACCACCTCTTCGTGGTGACTGTTTTTCCTAACTTAATAACCCAGTGTATTGGCTGTGATCGCCCTTTGTTGGTCGTAAAAGAGCATACAGAGGACCACTTGTCTTTTCTTTCTCTTCGCCTCAGTTGGGAGTCGGTCGGGTCACTTGATTGCGTGTGAGTCGTTAGCTGGCTAGCCTTCGCGTCTAAGTCATTAGCGCGCGTTTACGTAACCCCCTCTTGTGTGCGTCCGGTCCGAGGGCTCAGCGTCTATCCGAACACATGTGGCTAGGATCGTTCACACGCTCGCTCAATTTTCCGTCTCACCGGCTAAGCTAGCGTCATCAGGTCAGCGCAACTCCGTTCGAGTGGTCAGCGTCACAAGCAATTATCGTAGGCGTGCTCCAACCGTGCGAGTGACAATCTTATCAGGCAATTACGCAATTATATCAAGAGGCGGCGTTCCCCCAATTATAACAGTGGCGACAGAGTTGACGAACCATGACTGACGAATACGCCGATTTAAAACTGATGCTGCTGTTGACTTGGCTTGCCAGGACGACGCGTGGAAGGTCCGCCTGCTTCTGCGCAAACTTGGTACCCTCGAACACCAGCGCTACACCAACTTCATCTTACCGAGCAACCCACGCGACGTTACCTTTGACGAGACGGTCCGAACGTTGTCACAGATTTTTGGAGAGCAGTCCTTTCTGTTCAATGCTCGTTATCAGTGTCTGCAGCTGGCCAAACGTGATGCCGACGACTTCATCACGTACGCGGGCGTGGTCAACCGGGAATGCCAACGTTTTCAACTTGGCTCGCTCACCGAGGACCAATTCAAACGCCTGAGCTTCGTCTCTGGCCTCCAGTCCCCACATGATGCCGATATCCGGACGCGCCTCCTGTCCAAGCTACAACAGGAAAGCTCAGTTACACTCCAGAACCTGGCCGAGGAGTGTCAAACACTGCTCAACGTGAAGCACGATTCTGCAATGATCCAGAACGCCGCCGCACCTGGTATGGTCCAAGAAATCGCAGCACCGAGGGCGCAATCGTCCGCGCGTCCCACCCAATCCGACCGAGCGAAGTCCCCACCCTACGCGTGCCGATTCTGCGGTGCCTGGCATTTCCACCGTGACTGCAAATTCCGCCAGCATCGTTGTCAACGTTGTGGCAGGGTGGGGCACCGGGATAGTTACTGCCATCCACCATCTCCCAAGGGGGCCAAAACTGGGCTGGCCCCCACCCGCGATCCAAAGAAGAGGTCCCGACCCAGACGCACACCCAAACCTGGTCCAGTTGGCAGCTCCCTGAGCCTGCTGGCCACGTTTCAAATCAATGCTGCGGATCGGAGAAAGTTCGTCGACGTCCTGATCAACGGTCAGTCGGTCCGATTGCAGTTGGACACTGCGTCGGACATCACGATCATCTCCGAGGATCTCTGGCGATCTCTTGGCAAGCCACCGTTTGAACCGACCTACCAATCTGCCACCAGCGCCTGTGGTGGTCGCGTGCAGCTAACTGGGCAGCTGCACTGCCCCGTCTCCTTCCGGGACGCCCCGTTCAAAGTGATCTGCTACATGACGAGGTCGAAGCTCAACATGCTTGGTCTCGACTGGCTCGAAACCCTTGTCTTGGCCGATCTTCTTCGGGCCATCTGCAACAAGGTACATTGCCCGGCAGTACGAAACAACCGAACCGACGACCAAGTCAGTCAGTCCACCCCCGTGTCTATGGATTGTCAACAAGCCTCAAAGATGCCACCAAACTAATCACCGGTTCAATGGCATCAGCCAGCAAAGCCGTGCTTCCGAGTGCACGTTGACTACGCTGGGCCCATCGACGGCATTTCCTAGCTGGTCGTGGTCGACGCCTCTTCCAAATGGCCAGAAGTGGTCGCCATCAACCCACCAACCGCATCCGCCACTCTAGCTTGTCTCCAACGTATCCTCAGTCAACATGGCCTTCCCGAGGTCTTGGTGTCCGACAATGGTACCCAGTTTGCCTCTTCCAACTTCGAAGAGTTCTGTCGTCGATACTGCATCGAACACCTCCGCTCACCGCCCTATCATCCCCAGTCCAATGGTCAAGCGGAACGATTTGTCGACACCATCAAAAGGGCGCTGTTAAAATCTCGCGGGGAGCGGACCGTGGATGAGTGTCTTCAAGCCTTCCTGCTCTCTTACCGGTCCACACCGAATCCAGCTACTCCAGGATGCCAATCACCAGCTGAAGCATTGATGGGCCGCAAGCTCCGCACCACCAACGAAGCACTCATCCCGACTGAGAAGCCACCTACTCACTCTGGTGCCTGCACAAAGAATTCGCCGTTGGAGCCCCAGTCTACGCTCGCGATTACCGAGCAGGTCATCCTCGCTGGATCAAAGCAACAGTGACGGCCAGGCGAGGTGACATGCTGCATGATGTCTCCGTTGGTAATGACATCTGGGTCCGCCATCGCAATCAACTTCGACCGCGCCACGGAGAACCCTACACGCCAGCCAGTCTTCCCGTGCGCCTGCCGCTGCACATCCTGCTGGATACCTTTGGATTGGCCACACAACGAGAAACCATGGTCGAAGTCGCTCAATCGCCGCCGCGTTTCGAGAACCCGCCTTGCAGACGCACAGGAAGAAGAACGTCGCCGAAATCCCTCCAGGTCAATCCGCGTCAGAAGCGGTACGTTTTCTCTCCAAGGGGAGGTGTTGCGGGCCCGCCAAAAATCCCGCAAAAACGCGCCAGCAACCCCGGCAGAATGGCTGTGGGAAGCGGGGTCCAATTCCTCCCCACAACGCAACAGAGCTCAGCCACTCCGAGACAAGTCCCAACTGCGAACCTTTTGACAATGGTCATTTGCAAACTACCACCTCTTCGTGGTGACTGTTTTTCCTAACTTAATAACCCAGTATATTGGCTGTGATCGCCCTTTGTTGGTCGTAAAAGAGCATACAGAGGACCACTTGTCTTTTCTTTCTCTTCGCCTCAGTTGGGAGTCGGTCGGGTCACTTGATTGCGTGTGAGTCGTTAGCTGGCCAGCCTTCGCGTCTAAGTCGTTAGCGCGCGTTTACCTAACCCCCTCTTGTGTGCGTCCGGTCCGAGGGCTCAGCGTCTATCCAAACACGTGTGGCTAGGATCGTTCACACGCTCGCTCCATTTTCCGTCTCACCGGCTAAGCTAGCATCATCAGGTCAGCGCAACTCCGTTCGAGTGGTCAGCGTCACAAGCAATTATCGTAGGCGTGCTCCAACCGTGCGAGTGACAATCTTATCAGGCAATTACGCAATTATATCAAGAGGCAGCGTTCCCCCAATTATAACAGCGAATAGCACTAACATGAAGATTAAAAACTGGCTGCTTACGGGAGAAATGAGGCTAAAGGTAAAAATAAACCAATGGAAGCTATACCTCACTGACAAGCTCAAGATCAGCGTGGAAAAACAAATGTTCCAGCTGTGGGGCCAGGCTGGACCTCCAATCGACGGTTGACCAAACCAAACTGTCCGGAAGATTGACCAAACATGCAATGGCTGCGTCCCAGGTGAAGCGGTAGCAGGAGGTGCGGTATTCAAACGCAGAGGAGAAGGAATCAGCGTATATGTCTGCGGTACAGTCGCAGTTGTACACTCAGGCTCTATCCCGAGTTGACCAAGTGTGCTAGCGCACAGGTAGGAAGCTAAGTGAGAACCTTGAGGAGTGTGAGACAACCACCGACGCCAGTACTCATTTGTGCACAAGGATTCAGATAATTCGTATAAACATTGGTGGACCTCGAAGGCGTTTTCCAGGAAAAATTCGCTTTGCCAGATACTGAGCTCGACTACGCGGGAAACTCTGGACCACAAGTTTTCAGGTGACAATTGAGATCGGAGACGCTGAATGTATGGGTTATCGTCCGGTAGTGAGGCAAGACGAATAGCGACTAAACGACAGAACTGGACGGCTCTGGCTAATCTTTCCAGAGTAAGGTCGATCTCGGAATCGCCCGGCATCTCGTCTTTCGCATGTTGTCTGGCTATTCCTTTTTTGGCTGCAAATAACGGGAAAAATTGTGAAACCGCTAGCTCGATTTTAATTTCGAGAAGACACAACAGCTGTTCGGCACATAGACGATGCGCTTCAAAATTCCTGACTTTTAGGAAGGCGGTTGATAGTCCTTCATGGGCCCACCTGGAGGCTTCAGAGTGACGATCGGTTGAGCCATAGACCCAAAGAGGTAAGACCTAAAAGGAGAAAGCAGCGTTGAGGTTTCGGCGAATTAGAAGCAATTACAATAGCGCCCAGATAACAATACGAGAACTATGGAAAATACAACGGGGATAAAACATGTGTTACTTGCATAATGAGTAGCAATATTAGTCGAGGTTTTACAAAATGATGAATTTCAGAAAATCGATAGAAAGTGTTAATTGCACTTTTAAACTTTCAGTGATATCACTTATTTATAAGCTAAATTTATTTGATTTAAAGCGGTTTAATATCCAGTGTTAGAGACAAAACAGAAATACACTCAAGTAAGCGGATGACTAGATGATATCACAAGACGTGTAGCAATGTTTGGAACCAAGACATAGCGACCTATTAGTGTGTGACTGTACTTGGATAGGAAACAATCGTTGGTATGAAGCAGATTACTATTGTCTGAAAACATTGTGATGGAGTGCAGTGATTTCCGGCGGTTAACAACGATAGTAGTCCGCCGCTTCATCGGTTATGGTCCCCCAATGGACGAACTGACAAATGAGAATCGCAATCCAATCATCAGACGGCGAGTGTTTCAATGGTTGATACGACTGGACACCTCAATTGGATCACATCCGAAATCACCAGGAAGATGGCGAGATAGGCGATAAAGCTCTCGAGGACTAAGGACGGAATTAGGATGAGTTACATTGTCATGAACAAGTTGTGAGCCATAGATCAATTAGGAGAATCTGATTAGTGGCTTCCTGAACAAATGCCTCGCAGAATACAAGAGATCCGAAAACCTTGTCGCGTGAGTAATATAAGATAGCTGCACGGATGTTGACGAGTAAAGAGGTAGCGAGTAAAGTCATAGCCACACCGAGGACAAGAGTTGCAGACAACCTCTTTCACTAGTATATGCGGACGTTATTAATTCACTGTTCAGTTTAGTTGCCTCCGAACTCGCCACTAAAACAGTCGAACGAAGGAGCCACTTTCCACTGTGTCATTTGGTGAAAACGAATTAGACCAGTCGAGCGATTTTGCCGGATGAAAAGCCCCTGAAGTCAGCGAATCGACTGTAAGCATGCTTCTGGATACGGGAACGAAAACTGATAAGTAGACGAGGAGTGCGAACGAGATCAATTTGAATGGACCGTCTGATATTGCTCTCCGGGAACAGAAGGAAGAGAGACCGAGTCCTAGTCGATCCGTGTAAATGCTTTGCGTCGGATTTCGGCCTCTGACAACGGTTGTCTGCACAGGATACCTAGTGTGTGGGTACACCAGGTTAACGACGTCGATGTTAGACATCGTGCCTTTGGTAATGGTATGGCGGCAACTGTATCTGGATTTGCCTGTCACTGTGGCCTAACGGGGACAGCCACAGGACCCCTTCGCCTATAGAAGGTAGCATGGGTGGCTTGCGCTGCACCACCCACAGTTCCACCCACACACCGCATATCCAGTGTAAACCCGAAGGAATAAGACTGGGAGGCATGTGGATGGGAGCCACGTTTCATCAACGGAGCCGGCCCACACTCCTTCAACAACCAGAACAGAAGCATTCCGGCCTAATTGGGAAATCATGCACACCAGACGTACACATGGCAGTGGCTGGACCGTAGCCCGTTCCACACAGGATGGAACCACTCTTTGAGCCTAGCACCGTCACGAGGACGGTGCACCCCGTCCCCATGAGCAACAACCAACTGTCTCCTGGAGCCAGTATGGAAGAGGTAGTGGGTAATAGACAGGTAGGCACTTTGTCAACATTCACATCAAGCGCATCCACACCGGGGAGCTCAAACAACATCTACTTCTGAAATGCAAAATTACTTAGCACGCAGGCAAACGTACCACATACACCGCCTTATTGACCTGGATTAGTAAATCGAATGGGAGCGTACGCATCATGCTTCTATTCCGCGTGCAATAGTACCTTCTCCTTCACCTGAGCAACCGCTCTTATCAGTCCACGGAGTTCGCATCGATTAAATTTGCCTTGGATTCACAACACCTGAAATCAACATGTGTTTGTCATAAACTCACCTTCTTCATGTTCTGGTAATGTTATTTTCGGTTTGCTCGAGTGCCGTTTCCCTGTACTAAGTTAGCCGTACAAAAGCGGTACGAGTATCCTCATCGAATTCATTCGGTATACACATATACATAGATTGGCGTCATCCGTGTCCAATGGTAGTTCGAATACAACTTATGCACATGCGTTTATCCAAACTTAAGTGTGAGCTGTCACAAACTGGATAGAGACACATTAGACATCATGATCAATGGTACGACAAACGTGTATGAGTTTCGTTTGGAGGTCAGGCTAACAACCACTTTCGCAGGCATGACAATAAGTACCCAATATGAACTGTTGATGTTTTCTTCAACACTTAGACATGACAGCCTTAAATCTTGGGCATCCATATTTGAAGGAACCCGATATAGCGATAGTGAAGCAACTGCCAGGTAGAATGAGAAGTAAACTACTGGTACAGTAAAATAGTGTGCACTTAGATGCCGTCTACATGTACAGTCTGTTTTGCGTAGCTGATGGGGAAGATCGCACAGCATGCGAATGCGATGAAGTGTCCACTTCTGGCTCTCCGTGTCGCCCATCGGTCCGGTCCTCTGCTACCCAAGGTACGTGCACATTCTCAAAGAACAATTGATGCGCAACCTTTAAAATGGACAGGTGACATCAACTAAGTCCCGCTGCCCACTGCCAAACATGCGACTTTCCAACCAGTGTTCGCCTTGTTTTGAAAATGTTCAAGTATTCAAACGTTTGTACATACCCAGTTGTACTCTATTGTGAACATAAGCTATTTGATAAAGATCTGCATCGTACCTCTCCGGGTGCAGACATTTGGCACCTATAAAACGATTGTCGCTATGCGCCGATTCCTTTCCGATGTGATATACTAATACACTGACGTACTATTTCCGTTGGGTTTGATAATTTACTTCGTCTGTGCAATAGATTGGCCATGTGTAATGCAACTTCTGATAGGCGTCTCTGCGTTTTCAGAAGCCCCGGTAAATTCGGTATGGCTGAGGAACAACTGGAACTATAACTATGCTCTCTCTCATTACTAACCTGCGGAGCGGAACATGAACTGTCGACAGCATGATAATCGCAAGTCAGTTAATTGTGTGGATTGTTCACTTGCCACCGAATTTCTAGGGAAATTTCTCTTCGAATAAATAGTCCAATCGTTGAGCATTGTGTTCTAAGTGTCAAACTTTACACTTTATGCGTATTGTAACCGGACAAGCGATGATAACCTTTGCATTCAAACGTAGCCATCGAACTGGAAACATACACAATAATTTGCCACCGTAGCATTGATCTGTATCAAGCTCACAATTCGCTCGGGAACACCGCGTGCACCTCAATTGCGAACGAGCTCATGGGTGGACTCAACCATTATTCTGCGATGCACCGGCTCTCTAAGCGTCGTGATACTTAGCATTGAGCAGCTGGCTAAGCTAGGGTTACGTAATCTACGAATCAATTTCAAGGAGCAGAATGTAGATGGCATAGTCTGGTGAGTAATAGCATGGACTTTACATAGTGATGTGAATCGCGGCCGAATAATACTAATACGAAGAGGAAGATGCTGTAGCTCACTGTCTCGGTATGTAAACATACTAGACTACGCTTGAGAAGGTAGCAAGAATAGCCCTTGGTAATACCCACCTACTTAATGACAAGCTAATATCGCTGCGCCAACAGTGGCGGCCAGGTCACGTCCTACGCATGCCGTTTGTGCATTTACCACGGCGCGCTCCATTCGGTTGCGTAGGGACGCACTGGAAGAAATCGCGCGGTGGCCAAAGTATCACATGAGGACAAAACGTCAAAGCGGTGAATTCCAGTCCAGCTGTTATCGATCCCGTATATCTTCCGGGTTGGGAAGTCAGAGATGAAGTTCGCTCGTTGGAGACTCCTGAGGACATGGCACGTAACCGCAGACAAAAGAAAGCTTGCATGAGTCCATGCATTGATTCTACATGTCAAAACCGCACTCACGAAACTGACTAAAAATGACAAAACGGCGTGTGAAAAGCGCAAAAACGTTCTCATGGTGCAATATCACTTTTTAACTTTTTGACATATTATACGCGTTCAGTTTATGGTTTCCCGATGGTTCAATTTCTATTATATGGTTGGCCGCATCCGACTCCGGACATACCTATAACTGTGGCCCCCACGGGGACAGCCACAGGACGCCTGCGCCTACAGAGGGGCCATGGGTGACTTGCGGTGCATCACCCACGGCTTCATCCACACACCCCATATCCAGTGTAAACCCGAAGGAATAAGACCGGGAGGCATGTGGATGGGAGCCATGTTTCATCAACGTAACCGGCCCGCACTCCTTCAAAAGCAAACACAACACACTATATTTGGGGAATCAACCGGACCGTGGTCCGCTCCACACTGAATGCATGGAACCACTCTTCGAGCCTAGCACGACCACAAGGACCGTGAACCCCGTCCTCTCCAGCAACGACCAAATGTCTCCTAGGGCCAGTATGGACGAGGTAGTGGGTAATAGACAGGTAGGCACCTTGTCAACATGCACATCAAGCGCAGCCACACCGGGGATATCAAGCAACAGCCAATCACTTGAAATGACATTATCAAATAAAATACATCTGTTAAATAATACGGCCATGAAGGCAGAACTCTTCCCTAAATTTGCATATGAAGTAAGTTGGTTAACAACGAATCCGCAATCAGTACAAAATGTCCAGAAAACACTCAAAAATACTACAAACGCAATAGTTGACGAAGATAACCACAATTAGCGTAAACAAAGTGGCCAGTTAATAGAAGATTACTCAGGTAGGCAGAACAAAACAGATGAAGTGGAAAGAAATGTATCCAGCTTAAGAAACCTAGTTTAAGTGTAGGTTGGTTTCGCGCAACTGCGGTGAAGAAGCAACATGAATGCATCAGCCTTAGCATATATATATATATATATATATATATATATATATATATATATACATATATATATAT